AATAACAGGATGCAGGAGGCCAGGGGTGCCAAGGGTGCCATGGTGGGTGCTGCAGGGTGGGGAGGAGTGGTCAGTGGTCCTCTGCCAATGTGTGCAGCTGCCCCTCCCACCCCCACTGCCAGCTTGGAAGGCAACTAAGCCACTGCACTCTGGGCTTGTGGGGTTGGAGGTGTGTGAAGATTTTAAGGAAGTTGGGGATTTGGGGGTTGGGAGCCCAGAGGAGCTGAGAGGGCTGGGGGTTGGGAGAGTCTAGGAGTTGTGGTATTTGAGCGATTTCAGGGACTGGGTGAGTGGAGAGGGCATGAGATTGTGGGATTTAAAGAATAAGGGGGCAGAGGGGTTACAGGATTTAGGGACGCTGGAAAGTTGGAAGGGGGAGAAGCTGGGGTGAGGAATTTGGGGTTTGGGAGCTGGAGGAGCTTGGAGTTTCAGGGTTGTGCATATTAAGATTGGAGGAATGGAGAGAAGCTCAGGAATGGGGAGGACATTGGGGGTTCAGGGAGTTTGGGGACTTAAGGGGGCGGGGTGCCTGAAGGATTTGGGAGCAGAGAAAGTTGTGGAGTTGAGGATTTAGGAGTCTGGAGGATTGGGGGGAGCGGAATTTAGGGGACCTGGTGGCCTGGAAGGCAGCTGTGATATTAGGGGCTCATGGGTTCGGAGGAGTCGGGGGTAGATGTCGGGGTTCCAAGGAGTTTGGAGCGTGGGGATCGGGGGAGCCGTTCCAGCACCCTCCCGCCCTCCTCCCATTGACCAGCCCAGGATCCCAGAACCCGCTGCCTGCCAGGCCGAGCTGCCAGGGTCTGGCAGGAAAGCTCCAGCCTGGCTCCAGGCCCCGCGGGGCTGCCCAGGGCCCCAGCCTACCTCTGGTGTATCTCTCGGGGGTGCTGGGTCAGCGGCGATGGCGGCAGGGCCTGAGCAGCAGGGGATAAATGTCCACGCGAGGGGCGGGGGTGGGAGCGGTGCGGAAACCACAGGCCTCCAGGCTTCCTGGATGCATTACTCATCCGCCCACCCTCGGTGGAGGCCAAGGGGCGGGCCGAGGGCTGCCGAAAAGGAGATGCACCCTCCTCCTCTCCCTCCCTCTGGGCCTCGCCCTGGCCACCCACCCCCATCTCCACATCAGTCACCGTCCTTCCAGGCAGCCTCTGTGCAGGGCTTAGAGGCAGAACTAGCCCCCCTCCCAAGGCAATTCCCTAAATTCTCCAAACTCTCTCCAAAGTCTACCCAGTCCCCCGCCCAGCTCCCCATGGCTGAAGCCCCAGTGAGTTCATCCCTTTAATAAACATTGCTTGTGCACCTACTGTGTGCCGAGAGCACATGCCGAAATCCCTCTCCTGGGAGATCTGACAGTCCGGTGAAGGGCGAGCAAGGCAGAGAGGAAACAAATGGAGTAGAAGCAGGGAAGAGAGATAAGGCAGGTGAGTGGAAGAGGAATACAAGGTGGGACAACTGAGGCACGGAGGGGTTAAGTGACTTAGCCAAGATCACCGCTAGTAAGTGGCAGAACTGGGATTTGAACTCAGGTGGCCTGAAGCCAGAGCCTGGATCTTAACCCCTCTAAAAAACACAGGCAGGGACTCCTGGATGGCTCCGTCTGCGGAGCTATTGATCTCGGGGTTGTGAGTTCCAGCCCCACATTAGGTGTGGAGATTACTTAAAATAAAATCTTTAAGAAAAACAAACAAACAAACACAAAGACAAACGATCAGCATTTATAGAGCACCAATTGTGTACCAGGCACTCAGTATAACTTTTCTCACTGAAAGCTCACAGTAAAACCTCTGAGATGGGTACCGGTATTATTCCCATTTTACAGATGAGGAAATAGGAGCATAGAGGGATTGGAGAACTTTCCCAGGATCACAGGACACGGCTGGGATTTGAACCCAGGCTAACTGGTGCTAGGCTCTCACCCGAGGCGTGGCACAGCCCCGGCAAGTGGGGAACGTGCCAGTGAATTAGTGAGCATTGGGGTTGGGGGGCGGGTAGTTCACTGGTGGGGAAAGAGGGCAGTGAGTCAGGAGAAAACAGATCCCCTCCCATCCTGCCCTGCTCCTTCCCCACCAACCCTCCCACACCTCTGGAGGGGAGGGGGGGCGGTGAGGCAATCCCTGCCCACCAGCTTCCAGATGCTGCCTGAATCTTCACTGGGGTCCTGGGAAAGGGCTCTAAGGGCTCATTAACGTCCTTTGTTAGTCAGGGAAGGCAGACCAATAATAATAGTGATGGGAGCGATGCCGGCAGCCACTAACTGAACACTTACTGCGCACTGTGCCCTATATTCTTTGTATAAATTCTCCCATTTGGTCTTCATTGTCCCCTTGCTCCTGAAGCTTGCGGAACTCAGGGAGGTAAGCTCGGCCAGCACCACCACCACCAGCTGTTATGGGTATTAAACCTGGCTCTAAAATCTCGGTGAGTGCTTTGATCCCAGCTGCTTCCTTGTTAATCAATGTTGGCTGCCCCTTCCCCCACCCCCCTGTGCTGATAACGGCGCCCCGAGCTTTTTGAGGATGGAGGAGGCTTCCTGTGAGCTAGAGAGCGTGCTAAGCACTTTCCCTGAAATAACTAATCTCTTCCTCCCAACTTCCCCGGTAGACACAGACTTGCGTCTCTCCCTAGGCAGATGAGGAAAATGCGACACACCAAGGGGTCAAGAGCCACCAACCAAGGAATGAGGATGAAGAAATGACCCTGATCGGGGGAAGGGAAGTAAACCAGGAATTTGGGGAAGCCGGTTGTGAAAGTGGGGAGGGAGAGTGAATGAGGCAGGGGCTGAGTAAGTCAGCGCTTGGCCGGAGGGAGCTGCGCAGGAAGGGAAAGCCCCTCATGGACGCTGCTTCCCAAGGCCGGCTCTGACTCCCCAGCCTGAGTCAGCCCCAAGTCGGGCTGCATGTCTACACGTGAGGGGTTCTGGGCATCTGGTTTGTAGTGCGGGTTTTTTGAAACCGGGGGGAGGGGGGCGTCAAGGAGGGGTATCCAGGTGTGTGGTCCCCGGGGGGAGCCGGATGGGTGGTGGAGGGGGACCGTGGGGCCGGCCGGGTATGCAGAGCAGACGCCCCACCATTGCCCACAGCATGCCAAGTGCTTTGGGCCTCCGTTGTACCCCTTGTACAGATTAGGAAACTGAGGCCCAGGGAAGGTTCAGCGACCTGCCTGGGGGTGCCATGTGGCCTGAGGAGGAGGAGAGGCCGAGAGTCAAAACGCAGGGCTCTCCGGGGGAATCCTAGAGAGCAAAGCTCCCTGCCCTCCTGCACACATGGGCCAGCACAATCGCACACCGACACCCAACACCCAGGGCTGTGTTCAGGCTCAGGTCCAGCGCAAACAGGGAATGTTTATGAAAAGAGGGGCCTAGAAACCTGGGGGATTGGCGGTGGGGTGGGGGGGTGCGTGTGCACTAACGCGCAGCTCTCCTGTGTCTCTGCCTCCAAGAACTGCGTGTGTGCCTTTAGGTGGCATGTGCCCCTCTGCGTGGTGCACGCGTGCTCCGTGTCGCTTCGGGGAGTTGCCCGTCAGCCTCCGCAGAGCGGGTTGAGGTTGCGCGTGTAATTGTGGACGTGGTGTTCGGCTCCGAGCTGCGTGTGCGCTGGAGCCTTGCGTCAAGCGCCGCCTCTGCATTGTCACCCTGGAATGCCAGCGAGAGGATCCCTGTAACCCCTGTCCCAACACCATGCCTCTCAGGGCCCTGTCATGACGCCAGTCATTTGGGAAATAAGGAAGGTGGGGGTGCGGGGAGAGAGGGTGAGGCCTGAAGGTCAATCGGTCACACTGAGCCTGCGGGCTTCCTGTGCCTGTCGGGAACTGGGAACCGCCGCCGCCGCCGCCCCCAGCAGCCCCTCCGGGAAAGCCATCTCTCCGGGCGAGGGGGCGAGGGGGCGGTGGTGCAGGGCCCCGAGCTGGGGGCGCCCGGCCCCACCCCCCTCTCCCCAGCCAGGGTCGCAGGGCACTCAGGGTACCCTCACACCCGAATGCGTGCGTGTGTGTGTGTGTGTGTGTGTCCCTAGATGTACGTTTTGCTCCCCAGGGGCGTGGTGTGGGTGGTTATGTGACTACCTAGAAAGGTGGGTATCTCTATAGGAGGCATGGGTCCTGTTCGTTGTGCGGATGCCTGGGAGTGTTGCTTGTGTGTCTGTGAGTGTTGAGTCTGTGCCCAGTTGTGTCGTGTGTGCCTGTCAGTTGTGTGTGTCTCTGGTGCGTTCTGAGGGTTGTCTCTGTATTGCATGGGTAATCCTCCGTGTTGTGTGTCCCTCTGTCTGGTAGGTTTGGGTGAGAGGAAAGGAGCTGTGCGCGCGCGCGTGTGTGTGTGTGTGTGTGTGTGTGTGTGTGTGTGTGTGTGTGTGTCTGCTGCTGGGCAAGGAGGCTGGCCGGGAGCGCCTGCCCCAAAGTGCGAGCACCGGCTGGCTGAACAACTATGTGGATATCTGTAGCCAGAGAGCAGAGTGTGCCCAGAGCCTGTATTGGTTCTGGGTCTTTCCATCTTGCGAGTGTTGACATGTGTGGGAATCTCTGGGTTTGGTTGTGTAGGTCTGAGTTCTGAGGGTTTGTGTGCAGGTCTGTAGGTTGCGTCTGTGTATGACTGATGCTCACACATGAGGCCTGGCTGAGGGGTCTGGTTACTGTGTGCTCACCACCACACCCCCGTGCACGCACAAGCACACACTCACTTCTCTATCATCCATTCACTGTCAAAACAAACTTTCCCTTTTCCGGAAAAGTCCCCCACCCCTATCCCATGCCTCTGCCCGGGAAAGCAGAGGCGGGATGTCTGGCACTTGGGGGTAGTGGAGGGAGGGATGGGCAGGCAGGGCTCAGAGTTCGATTCTGGGCTCAGAGACGCTGTGTGACACCCTTGCTGCTGTCTGTCTCTGACTCGCCTCTTCTGGGAAGTGGCTCCTGATGTGGCTCCCGCTAAATGGGCTTCTCTCAGCGCCATCCCCCACCCCTGGTGATCGGACCCCCAGCCCTGACCATGCTCTGCCTTTCCCCCTCCCAACCAGCTCAGCAGCACGACGTACCCTGTGGTGGTGAAGATGGGGCACGCACACTCCGGGATGGGCAAGGTGAGTCCCCAGATGGGGTGTGTATGTGTGTGTGTGTGGTGCACACTCCTGGCATCATGCATATGTGTGTACGTGTATATTGCATAGTCAATGCACCCCAGTCATTCTGTACGCTTGTGTGTCCTGGAGCATCTTTATTGATGTGTATTGTTTCCCTTGCATTCTTAGATTATGGTGGCCCAGTCTTTTGTCAGACATTCGACCAGTTCTGTGTGTCCTGTTCTTTTGTTCGTGCATCCTGCTTTGTGTCTCTGTGGATGCATGCCTCTGGGTTGAACACACAGCATGTGATCTTTCATGTTCAAGGGTCTTAAGGTCCTGTATGCTTTCCATCCCCCGACCCTGGTGCTGTGTATGTAGGAAACGGACTTAGGATGTGTATGTTCGTGTCTGTGCTTCTGTGTGCTTTCCTGTTGTGTGGACTACTGACTTTGGGTCTGGGCACTCCCATGCACAGCTTTACTGAGATGAAAGTCACTGCCCATAACACTTACCCACTTAAAGTGGACAATTCAATCATTTTCAGTATGTTTCAAGTCACATCTCCCCACCTGCGTGTCTGTTGCCTCCATGTGAAAACTCTGTACTCAGCTCCCCGGGGCCATCGGCGTGCACGCCCCCACCCAGAGGCCTCCCCACGGCCCATGGCTGCCCTATCCTCAGCAGGCCCCGATCCCCACCCTGCCCCCACAGGTCAAAGTGGACAACCAGCATGACTTCCAGGACATCGCGAGCGTTGTAGCGCTGACCAAGACGTACGCCACCGCCGAGCCCTTCATTGATGCCAAATATGATGTGCGAGTCCAGAAGATCGGGCAGAACTACAAAGCCTACATGTGAGTGAAGAGACCAGGGCCGGGGTCGGGGTCCCCTGCCCTGGGCAGCCCAGGCTCCCCTGAGCTCTGTCCTCTCTCCTCTTGCCCCCCACCCCAGGAGGACGTCAGTGTCAGGAAACTGGAAGACCAACACCGGCTCTGCGATGCTCGAGCAGATTGCCATGTCTGACAGGTAGGGGTGGCCCAGGCCTGGCTGGAGGGCAGGTTGGGGACGGGGGTAAGCGTGGCACGCCCCAAGCCAGGCGCTGACAGGCTACCTTGCTCCCCATCTCGGCAGGTACAAGCTATGGGTGGATACATGCTCAGAGATTTTTGGGGGACTGGACATCTGCGCAGTAGAAGCACTGCACGGCAAGGACGGAAGGGATCACATCATTGAGGTGGGAGCACCCAGAAAGTGGTGGGGGTACAGAGGGAGCGGCGGGCGCTTGGTAGCGACTGAACCCTGCAGCTCTCCATGGCCCAGCAGGGGGCTACTAAAGCCTTCTGCAAACTGTAAAACACCTTATAAAGTAGGAAATGCCACGTGAACAGCAAAGTGCCTTATAAAACTATTTTTTTTAAAAAAAGGGAGCTCTGTAAACTGGGAGGGAGGTCCCTGTTATCGGAGCAAAGCACTTCAACATTCCAGAGTTCTTTATAGACAGCTGTGCCTCTGGGAAACAGTAAAGCCATTTATAAACTTTAAAGCTCCTTGAAAAGTGGAGGGCTTGGTAAACGGTAGGGAGCACTTTATCTGTGGTAAGGCATTTTGTAAACAGTGGTGCCCTTGCAAAGCACTTTCCAAAGTCTAAACACACCATGTATCCCCTAGTCCCTTGAAAAGGACAGCGGCTTTGTAAACTGTAAAGCACCATATAAGCCACAGAGTTCTTCGTGAACAACCAAGCACCGAGCACACTGTAAAGCGGGGGTTGGTAAGGTTTTCTGTCAAGAGCCAGACAGCGCACATTTCAGGCTTTGTGGGCTGTGTGGTCTCCGTTGCAGCTGCTCTGCAAAAGCAGCTGAAGTCAATATGTTAAAAGAAAGAAAGAAAGAAAGAAAGAAAGAAAGAAAGAAAGAAAGAAAGAAAGAAAAAAAGGCACGGCTGTGTTCCCCTAAAACTGTATGGACATAGACATTTAAACTTCATATATTTTCACGCGGCATGGAATCTTCTTGTGGTTTTTTTTCCCCAACAATTAAAAAATGTAAAACCCAACCCTTAGCTTGCAGGGGTCATCCCCAAATGTGGGGGGTGTGTGTGTGCAGATTTGGCCCCACGCCCCACGGGCCTGATCGAGGAACTCTACTCTGCGCTGTAGGCCCCCCACCCCCCTTCCTGAGCTGTAAGTTACCTTGTGAACAACAGGCCTTCCTCACACCGCAGAACTCATGTCTCTCAGCCTGAATCTGCTTCTTTGGCAGCAGCCCATGCCTTTCAAAACAGAAGGCGCCTTGTCACTGTCACCCTCCCAGGGACCTGCCGCCTCTCTCCTCACTGGACCCCATTTCCTTCCCTAGGTGGTGGGCTCCTCCATGCCGCTCATCGGGGACCACCAAGATGAAGACAAGCAGCTCATCGTCGAGCTGGTGGTCAACAAGATGGCCCAGGCCCTACCCAGGCAGCGGCAGCGGGATGCCTCCCCTGGCCGGGGTTCCCACAGCCAGGTCAGGCCCCCAGTGCTGGGAGAGGGCCAGGCTGGCCCGAGGAGGCTGGTGGCGGGCCGGCCAGCCCCAGGTCACGCCACCACAGAGCTAATCAGCAGCAGGCAGAGGGCACAGCCATGACCCATGTGTGGCGGCAATGACCAGTGGTTTTAAAACATGATAAAACAGCCGCTATCCTGATTCCCCCCACCCTGAGTGCCTCCCAGCCACCCCCTGGGAACTAGCCCCCCGCCAAACACACACAGCCCCACATCCCCTCGGCTCAGCCACAGACGCGGCAACACCCAGCACAGGGGGAGCCCGTGTCATTTTGATTGGCTGAGGCTCAGGCTGGCCGGTAACTATTTTGAACCTCTTCTGCTCTGCTCCTCTGCCGCAGACTCCGTCCCCAGGGGCCCTGCCCTTGGGCCGCCAGACCTCCCAGCAGCCCTCGGGGCCTCCGGCTCAGCAACGACCCCCACCACAGGGTAAGTGAGGGACCAGCTTCCGGGGCCCCTACGGGACTGGCAACCAACGCCCCCCCACGCCTCTCACGTGTACACTTTTTCTGTCCCTCAGGTGGCCCTCCACAGCCGGGCCCAGGCCCGCAACGCCAGGGACCCCCGTTGCAGCAGCGCCCGCCCCCACAGGGCCAGCAGCACCTTTCGGGCCTCGGACCCCCAGCTGGCAGTCCCCTGCCCCAGCGCCTACCAAGTCCCACATCAGCACCCCAGCAGCCTGTGTCCCAGGCCCCACCAATGACCCAGGGTCAAGGCCGCCAATCCCGGCCGGTGGCAGGAGGCCCTGGGGCACCTCCAGCAGCCCGCCCCCCTGCCTCCCCATCTCCCCAGCGCCAGGCGGGACCCCCACAGGCTACCCGTCAGACATCCGTCTCTGGTCAGGCTCCGCCAAAGGCCTCGGGGGCCCCGCCGAGTGGTCAGCAGCGCCAGGGCCCACCCCAGAAACCCCCGGGCCCTGCCGGCCCCACACGCCAGGCCAGCCAGGCGGGTCCCATGCCCCGCACTGGGCCACCCACCACGCAGCAGCCTCGGCCCAGTGGCCCGGGCCCTGCTGGACGACCCACCAAGCCACAGCTGGCCCAGAAACCCAGCCAGGACGTGCCACCACCCGCCACTGCCGGGGGACCCCCGCACCCCCAGCTCAAGTAAGAGGACCCCACGGCAGCCCTCGCCTTGCTGCTCACTTAAAACAGGCTCCCGAACCAGGAGAGTGGCCCCAGCTCCCAGGCTCCTCGGACCCAGGTCCCATACAGGGAGTTCCGAGAGTTCCATCTCCAGTCTGAGCAGAACCCTCCTTCCGAGCTATCCACCCCCCAACCTCACCCCAGTTCCTGGGGGCTCCTGCCCTCCATCCCAGAGATTCATTCCAGAATTCCAGAGAATCTTGTTTTTCTTTTTGTCCTCCAAATAGGCCCCTGGGAAAGCCCCCTCCCCCAGCCCCTCTAGGCCCAACCCAGGCGCCTTGCTGACCCTCCCTGAGTATCACCCTGCCCAGCAGATCTTCGTCCCCGCCTGTCTGGAGCCTTCCCAGCAAAACGCACCCTTCTCCTGCCCAAACGGACTCCTCCCAGGCAAACCCCCAAACTCCTCCTGGCCCAATTCACAGTCCTCCAATCACTTTGTGCTCTTCCCAGCTGCCCTCGTGCTTTCCCTAGGCTCTTTTCTGGGCCATCTCAGTCTCCCCCCAAATCATCGCACCATCCTCTCTACCTTTTCTGGTCTGCTCCAGACCTCCCCCGCACCTTAGCTCGAAAGTCCTCCGTGCCACACATAACCACTCCCCTAAGGGAGACCCCCACCCTCCACCAGCCTGTCCTGGGTGCATACCCCACCGCCCTCCCTCCGGGACTCCTCACCCAGACTGGAAAGCTCCCCGCCCGTCTTCACCTGCCACTCCTCCCAGTCCAGCCTAGAATGTGGAGGTGGTTCAGCCCAGGGCTCTTTCCACTAAGCTCCGACTTCCCCCTAGACCCAAGTCCTCCCAGCCTGGCCCAGGGCTCCCCCACTCCACCTGAGGATCCATCAGGGTCCAGGCCTGTGATGGTGGGGGGGGGCGGGTCACAGGCACAGCCCCAGGACTAGAGGGGCAGGGCTGGGCCGGGCCTGGGGTAACATTATGTTTCTCTCCCCTTCCTCCCTTCCTCCCCCCCCTTCCTCCCATGCCTCCACCTTGTCTCTCTCTAGCAAATCCCAGTCTCTGACCAATGCCTTCAACCTTCCAGAACCAGCCCCGCCCAGGCCCAGCCTTAGCCAGGACGAGGTGAAAGCTGAGACCATCCGCAGCCTGAGGAAGTCTTTCGCCAGCCTCTTCTCCGACTGACACCCCACCCTGAGAACCCTTAATTCCTCCTGGGCAACCCCTCTCTGGGCCCGAATCCATTTCTCACTTTTGGAGTCTCCAAATCCCTTGAGAAGCCCTCTCCTGGTCCGAGACCCCTCTTCTCACTCCGCTGAATGCCCTACTCCCTGGGGAAACCTCACTCTTGGTCCTAACTCCAACTCCCACTTTTGGAATCCCCAAGTCCCTTTAAAAGCCCAGTCCCCGCCACCTCAAGACTTTTCAGTTTTAGAACTCCAAATTCCTGAAGATCTCTACTCCTGGCCCCCCAGAGTGCACTTTCCTTCCCAGAAGCTCCCAAATACCAGGCAACCCGTTCTGGCCCTCACACCACTCAGTCCCCTCCCGGAGCCCTGGAATTCTCGGAAAACCCTACTCCTGGATCTCTCAAGTATGCCTTGTTCCCCATCAGAATTTCCGAAATCCTTAAGAAACCCCTACCCTGGAGCCCCTCCATGGATGTCCCATCTCTGGAGAGCCGCCTCATCAGATGCCACTATCCAGCCCCACAAAGATTTCTCCTACCCACCCCCAGCCCCTTTCCTTCACATTGGGAGGTCCTCCCACTCCTAGGACCCTTCTGTTCCCCAGGGACCCATACTCCCACTTTCCTGCCTCTGACAGCTATCTCTAAATATGCAAACTCTAACCATCCTCCCAGAATCCTTTGCACATGGAGGGCCAGTGGTCCTCCACTTCCCCACCTTTGCCGTGATGTTTGTGTCTGTGACTGACGTGGCCTCCTCTCGTGCCGTGCTTGGCATATGTGGTCTTCGTTCATCGTGCCGCCTGTGGTGATGCGTGCAGTGGCGCTGTTTGTGTGGTCCGCACTCCCCCTCCAACCACTCCTTGCCTGGACTCACCCCCACCCTTCAGCGGCTCTGAACCCCATGAGAAGAGTCGGGAAGCAAAATAAACAAGCAAAGGCCCAGCAGAATTCTGTGCTTCTTGGTGAAGAGGGGAGTCCTTGAATGGTGGGGAAGACACAGAGGGGACCCCCCTAAATCCACAGGGGGGGCTGGGGACCCCAAAATCCAGTGGAAGGCACAACAGGCACAAATTCCAGAGAGGTTCTGAGTGGAACCCCTGCCACAAATCCCAGCCATTGCAGATGGAGGAGCTCCCAAATTTAGAAGTATCCCCAAAGCCAAGAGGAAACCAAATTAGAGGAAGCAGGGGTATTGGTCTTTGGGGGTCCCCCAATTCCAGAGGAGCTGGAAAAGCACATGGGGACACCCTCATCTCCCAGGACTGGGATGGGTGGATCCTGAGGCAGTTATCAGGGCAGAAACAGAACACTGGCTGGCTGGTGGGCAGGGCTCCTTGGCGTGGCAGGCTGAGATGGGTTCCCTGGCCGCTGGGGGCAGGGCCTAAGGCACGAGGCGGGCCGCGCTGAGGAGGCAGGCAGGCAACTCATCGGCCTGGGTGCGGTGCAAGGAGGGTTCAGAGGCACTCCGCTCAATCTTGGGGAGTGACCGCTGCAGCAGCTCAATCGTGGCCAGGATCTGGGGGCAGGGGCAGGTTAGGGGAGTGTCCAGAGCCATGTAGGCACCAAGACAGCTACAAACCCCAGCCTACAGGGGAAGCACACATGCGCGCGCGCGCACACACACACACACACACACACACACACTCACACTCACACCTTACGCTTCAAAGCCTTGAACTTGTGCAATTCCCACGGACACCTCAGAGTCGTCCTCCTCCTCAGACTCACCCTCCCCAGTGCGTCCAACCCTCCTGCCTGGCCCACCTGGGGGAAGAGGGGACGTTCCTCCCGCTGGAACTTGAGGCAGTCAGACAGCAGGCGCCGCATGGCCTTGGGGCAGTTGCTGGAGATTTTGCTGAGGTCCGGGGACAGATAGCCACGGCCCACCATAAAGATAATCTGGAGGGACAGGAATGGGGTGGTCTGGAGGTGTGGGCTGGGAGGCTGAGGGAATTGTGGCTCTAAAGGGGCTTTGGGGGCTCCTTTTGGGGGAAACTAGGGCACTCTGGGTATTGGGATCTGGAGTGCTATGGGGATGCAGTGGATCCAAGGACACTGGGTCTCTGAGCACAGGGCTTCTCTGCAGAACAGAGGGACTGAAGCTTGGGGGAAATCCAAAATTACAGGTATCCCTGACCTCACAGGTTTCTGGGGGCTTACAAGCCTACTGAGTCAGGGGAAACATGAAGTTCTGGGTCTGGGAGGAGCTAGGGGAGTCAAAACCTCAGGGGCCTGTATTTCTGCAGGGGTCTGGGGCCTAGAGAACTATGGGTCCATGTGGCCTGTAGGATTGTGAGTGCTCGGTTCTTAGAGCCTAGAGGACCCCAGGTTTCTGAGGGCCTGGAAGATTCCAGGCCTTCAACCTGAAGAACTCGGGAGAGCCTGGGGCCCAGAGTACTATGGGTTCCAGGGCCCTGAAAGCCTGGCAGATACCCAAGGCCTGAATGACTGTGGGTATCTGTGAGTAGTCCAGAAGCACAGGCAGCTTCTGTCATTGGGAGAAATGGGATGCTGGGCTTTGGGACTTGGGAGATTTGGAGCACTGTAGGTACTGGAGGACTGTAGGTATCCAGAGCCCCAGAGGGCTTCTGGGTGTTTGGGAGCCATGGCGGGTTCTGGGTAGAAGGGATTCCGGGGGTTCTGGACTTCAAGGACCCAGAGGATTGTCGATGTGTAGGGAAGGAGGGGATTCTAGGTAGGGAAGACCAGAGGATTCTGAGAGTTCTCAGCCCAGAAGATTTTGGGTTTCTGGGGGGAAGTGTGGAATTCTTGGTCTTTACAAAGGAGGAAGTCTGGGCTTTGGAGGCTGAAAGGATTCCTCTGCCTAGGAGATTGTGGGTGATGCATGGGGCTCACCTGGTCACGGCTGCCAATGTGGCTGTAAGGCAGCGAGCCGGTCATGAGCTCATAGAGCACAACCCCATAGGCGTAGACATCCGACTGGAAGCTGTAGGGGTTCGGGTCCTGCATACGGATCACCTCAGCCGCCTTCAATAGGGCAGACCAGACCAGGCAGGGGGACCACGGAGGTCAGCCAATGGCCGGCCGCACTCCCAGATCCCACCAGCCACACTGGGTACAACTCAGATCACCCATGTGAGGCGAAGCATGAGCAGTCTAGACACCCTCATCTGGCACAAGCATTCCCATCCCCACTCAGCTCCCCCCATCCTGCCCCAGTCACCCAAGCTCCTACCCAGATGGCCCCAGTCCAGCCTGGCCCAACTCACCATCCATAGCACGGAGCCCGAGGGCTGCTCCAAGGGCTGGGCCCCACTCCACCGTGTCTTCACTGTGGCCAGGCCAAAGTCACCAATCTTCACTGTGAGCCCCTCATGTAGGAAGATGTCCACCAGGGTCAAGGGCCACTACAGGAGCTCCCAAAAGCCACATCTCCCATCCTGACTGGGCGGTTCCCACTGATGCCCCCACACCAATCTTGCCCCTGACCCTGACCAGAAGCCCCCCATATCATACAAACTAGCTACAATCTTGACTTGGGTAGGGAACTCCCAATTATTGCCCCTTATGCTACCCCCCACCCCATGACTCCTGACCAGGAAGCGCCTCAAGTGGGGCTTCAGACTTGCCATGCCCTCCACAGCTCCCAAACCTTGGACCCTGCCCAAAGTCCCCAACAGCACCGAAACCAGCCACAGCCTTGAGCCTGACCAAGAGACTCCCCCCGCCTTAGAGGCCCTATTAAGCCACGTGCCACATGACCCTTCCATGCATCCCCAGAAGGCCCCCAACAAGAGCCACCCCACTAAGCCCCTACCCCAGCCCAGCCAGCGCACAGGGACAGGCAGATACTGTTAGACTTGAGATCTCGATGAATGATGTTCTTGGCGTGGAGGTAGCTGTAGGGGTCGAAATGCAAGGCAGATTGGCGGGGGGGTTACCTCCTCTCCCCACCCCAAGCCTCCCGCCACCCCCCCTTTGTCCCCAGGCCGGGAGGCTCACTCCATGCCCTGGGCAGTCTGCCGGGCCACGTCGATGAGCTGGACCATGTCGAAGCGAGTGTCGGCCACGTGCAGGTGGTGGTAGAGGCTGGAGCCCTCACACCACTGCGTGATGATGGCAAATCCCGGCCGCGTCATGAAGCCCATGAACAGCAAGATGTTGACGTGACGGGTCTTCCTACAGGCAGGGAGGGCAGTACCAGGACAGGAAGGAAAAAGAACAACCATCACTCACTTTCGGAGCATCAGAAACGGGGCTATTCACTGCTGCCCTCTGTCAGCACTTCCGCCCTTTCAGGAGGCTCAGGGCCAGACTGCCACCAGACTCAGTGCATTTGTGAGATATGCTTGATGGGTGGGGATTCCCTCCTGGTGGGGGTGGCGTATGTCCCCAGCTTCCTCAGCCGAGTCTCCCAACAGAAGCAGGAGAGAGAGACTACTGCCCCCTCCCCGCCCCTCTATCGACCAGTGGCTCTACGTCATCACCTGCCAACCTCCAACCCTGACCGTGACCTGGGCCTGTGACCATTTTATAGACAAGAGAGTGGAATGCCAACCTTCTTCATTGATACAGCAGCCTGATACTGACAGATGCCAGTAAAGATACCCAGTAACGTGTGACTATTTCCTGTTAATTGCCACGAGAGGCTCAGAATTATAGAGCTTGGAGTTAAGACTCAGATTAGATCCTGTGTTCCAATCCAGGCGTCCCCAGGTACTCACTGTGCAACCTCAGGGATGACACTTAACCTCTCGGTGCCTCACGTTCCTCAACTGCAAAACTATGATCATTATACTAGCTACCTTATAGGGATATTGGCAAGAATGGGAACCAAATGATCTGTAAGGCACTTGGAACAGCACCTACCAGAGCTAAGCACCCTGAAAATGTCACTGTCCTCGTTATTGCCACTGGGTGCCTAAGTCTACCTCAAAGAAACTGCGTCACGGTGAACAGACGCCACCGCTCTAGTTCAGGAGGACACCTTCTCTCCTTACAAAAGGAGTCACCGCAGGTATAATGGCAACACAAATGCGAACACCGACAGTGCTCTGCGATTTTGCTCATGTCACAGTGGGTAACGGAGGACAGGAGCGCTCTTCACAGTGGTCTGATTACGGTTAAAATATTAATGTGATACAGGCTAGCAGTGGGCTCCAATCATTTCACAGAGAGGAAGAGAATAAAAGTTTTCTTACTGTGGTGTCCATAATGAGGATAAATGTTAAAATGGCACAAGAAATGATGAGAACATCAACTCTGTAATGTACCTGTACCCATTGGTAGAGGGCACGCCCACGTCAGCAAGCCCAGGAGTG